ACCTACAAGGCAGGCATGGACAACTTTGATGTGCCTAGGGGCCAGTGTTTTGGCCAGGGACCCCTGAGGGCCACAAAGACTGCCAAAAAAAGGCTCAGTAATGGGGGGCACACGGAAATAAACTGTAGTGTTGAGGCGTACAGTCCTAGTTTTGAAAAATGAGTTTTGGGGGTGCTAAACAGTGCCCTGTGACTATTTAGATGGTGATTTGGAACTCCTGGAGGCTTCTGGAAGCAGCTTTTCAGTTGCTGCAGGAGGGCTGAGGGCCATGGGAACAGCCTGGGGGAGGGGGTTGCTCTTTCCCCATTCCTGCTGCAAGTGATTATGACAAAAAAAGAGAGAACAGGAAATGACCTCACAAGATTCCAGAGGAAATGGTAAGATAATTTGCTCTAATTGACAAGATCTACACCTGATTTTGACTGTGCTGCTTTTGCTGCAGCAGCACTAAGCATGCTCGGGAAGTTAACCACACGCACAGCAGGAAAACATGGAGCAATGACGAGTCATGCCACATTATTTGTGTGCATCATGTGAAGGACTGACATTGGGCGCCCAACAGCCCTTTATATCTCTGGTGTAGATCTGGCCTTTGTCAGCTGGCTCTTGCAGATGGAGGTTCATGCCACCTTTTAACAATGGGATAGAGGTTTTACTCTGAGGAGGAAGTGGCCTGTGTTTATGTGTTTCAGAGGCAACCTTCACCATCAAAGTAGTCCAACTGCTGGAGTGCCATTTGAACTAAATAGCTGAGTTAAATCCAGTCTTATTCTCAAGGAAAGGGGGCACTGAGTTTGGGAGGCACCTAAATGAGAAAAAGGTAAAGGTTCCCCTTGACAATTTTTGTCCAGTCGTGTTCGACTCTAGGGGGCGGTCCTCATCCCCGTTTCCAAGCCATGGAGCCAGCGTCTGTCTGAAGACAATCTTCCGTGGTCACATGGCCAGTGCGACTTAGACACGGAACGCTGTTACCTTCCCACCGAGGTGGTCCCTATTGATCTACTTGCATTAGCATGCTTTTGAACCGCTAGGTTGGCGGGAGCTGGGACAAGCGATGGGAGCTCACTCCGTCGCGTGGATTCGATCTTACGACTGCTTGGTCTTCTGACCCTGCAGCACAGGCTTCTGCGGTTTAGCCCGCAGCGCCACCACGTCCCATACCTAACTGAGAAGAAGGTCCCAAATTCTTCACTCGTCATTCCAATGGTGTAATCCCCATTTGGTGGAGTGGGTGGGTGAGTGGGGACTCGGCGGTGGATAGCTCAGGACACACACAGAGAGTCAGCAGAGTTTTAACTCAGGTCCTTGGAGGGGTTTTGCAGGGTGTTCTGTAGTTGAAGAACAAGGTGGGGATATCTGTTTGGATACGGGAGACACGCAAGGAGCCTCCCTGAAGAATGTGGGCCATTTGGGCATCTCCTAGGCCACTGGTTCCCAACATTGGGCCCCCAGGTGTTCTTGGATTGCAACTCCCACAAATTCTGCCCAGCACAGTTAGTGGTGAAAGTTTCTGGGAGTTTCAGTCCAGGAATGTCTGGGGATCCAAGGCTGGGAACCACTGGCCGAGTCAATGAGATCATTCTGTCGATTGATCCTTTCACTCCGAAAGCACCTTTAGGATTGCTTGTGACACAAATGAAGAAGGGCAGCTTTGACATACTATAGCTCCCATTACCACCAGCCAACCTGGTTGCTGGCCAAGCTGCGTGAGAGCTGTAGTCCAAAATGTCTGGAAGGTGGGTGGACAGCTTGCAGGAAAGAGGTTGCCAAGTAACTAATGGTTAAGCAAGAGGGGGGTGTCCCCCTATGAAAGTTATAGAAGAGTTTAAGGTTATGTCTTATAACATAGGCAGAGATAGATGGAGGGTTGGCAGGGAATCTGCAGCAACAGTGATAAATGGCAAATAAATAATACATATTCTGAAGCCCAGCTCGAATGACAGATGCTTCAGAGTTGAGCAAAAGTTGAGTCCTGGGAAGACTGAAGTAAGGATGCAGTCAAAATGAACAACAACCCAAGAAGCTCTTCAGCCAGAGACACAAGAGGTGTCCAAGGAGTATTAGCTGTGAAATTTCAAAACAACCCTCCAGCAAATACACAGTCTACACAAAAACCAATTTCCTGGTTTTATGCAACATGAGCCAGCATGAAATAGGCTTCACTCAGGTCTTAAACTGGCAGATTTTGTTTAATCATTCCGGCTTCCTGTTTTTGAAGGCAACATTTATCCTTACAGTGTTAGCAGTCTTAACTTCTCTCTGGTGTATTTGAATCTGCTTTGTTGCAAGGCAGTGTACATGGTAGATGAGGTTATACTGTAAATAAGCAGACAATGGTAATTGTGATTTCATTTCAAGAATCATACATAACGTTTCTCTTAGGTGTACATATTTCATCCCAGTGAACAATAAATGTGGGTAACGATGCTTATTCTTCATGGCCTCTGTGAATGCACACAATTGGGTTATTCTGCGCCTGCGCAGGACATTTTGGAAGTTTCTAGTGCTTAAAAATGTGATAATGAGACGTTCCCCCGTGGAGCACATGCTCCGCCTTCCCAAAGTCTCATCAGTTCCTTTTTACTGCCACTTCAGTAGGATGTATTTTGGAAAGTTAGAGCAATACACAGTGAGTATTTCAATCTTCCTAATCATTCTATAATAGATTCCAATCAATTTTCTTTTAGGTTCCCCTGTGATTATCAACTGTTTTTCCACATTTGAAGTTTTTTCTCTTCCTGCATTTTTTCTCCCCCCCCCCAATGGCCGGTTTCTCCTTCTTCCCCTATTTTTATGCCCCCCAGGACCATTCAAATGGTGCGTCCTTTGCACCAACAAAATACAGCTAACAGATGGGCACGATTGTTGTTTATTTTGTCTGGGAGAACAACATCAGACCCACTCGTGCCCTGAGTGTAAAAAACTCACCAAAACCAGCGCTCAAATTACGATTACAACAATTACGATCTTACCTTTGGGAATGGTCCCTCAATCTGACCATGAACCCAATAACATTGCCAACTCCTAAAGAGACAGCTCGCTCTGAAATGGCTTGCTCCATATCAAGCATGACACCCGTTCCATCTCATCAAAAAGAACTTTTGGATCCATCTTCAAAGTTGGGCTTGAATCCCATCTCCAGAGTTCCGACCCATTCTGACGAGACATCTAAAAAGAAGAAGGATAAAGTCAAGATAAAAACCCCCAAAGAAAATGACAAAATCCACTCAAATTGACCCTCCTCAACCAATGATTCCATCACCCATTCTAGAAGAATCATCTCGAGAGGCCCCTGTTTCAGCTTCAGACAGGGATGATCCTACTCTGACACTGGCCCAGGCTACAGCTTCTATTGCTAGTCTGTCACCCAGTACAGGCCTGTCCCCGGCTGATGTGCAATCCAGCCCGGCCTTGGCCCATTCAAGCCCTTGTTCATCAGGGCGGGCGAGACCTGTTCAGCCTTCAGAATCGGAGTCATCCCATCATTCCCCCCACAAGAATCAGAAGAAAAGACGACATGTCTCTCCGATCCAATATGCCCCTTCACATAGAGACATATATTATTACCCTGAACCGCTTCAATACCATACCAGAAATGACTTTAGAGACAGGCATCATCATTATGATCCTTATTATGCAGAAGCATTTGCTGAACAGGCTTACTATGATGAGCCCAGGAGAGTTTGATATGCCTCCCCATCATGGTATTCACCTTCTGTGTCACCATCGCCACCACAACATCGACCCCGATCAGTTTCCACTTACACAGTATCGACCCCTCAGTCTTCGATGCCGACAAAATCTGAACTCAAAAGGCCTCTCCAGTTACCAGAAGTTCAGGTTCTACCGAAATGTACAAAACAGTCGAAACACCATACCTCCCTCCACATTGCTACAACTTACAGGGCCCTCCTCCCCCACCCTCTGATATGGAACAACAATCGGTACCGGCTTATACAACTCTCCAATCACTACCACTGACATCAACCATGAGATCACACCAAAAGAGAGGAAAGTTTGAAACTCAACAAAACTTGGCTCCCAGCTCTGAAAACTACAGCGTGCAAAAGGTCAACGAACTCTACCCAGCCACAAGGACTGGGGATCACTACACACAAAAGACCAGCTAATGACACCCATCAACCACAGTGACAGATAATCTCTCCTTATCACAACAATACACCCACAACAAGAGACACTAATCACCCATCTCCTGAAAAGGACAAAAGCCTATCTCACAGCCATAAATACTCAACTCCCAAGCAAGCTACACCAGAGCACAAGAGTGCTGTCCTCTGAAGATGCCGGCCACAGAGACTGGCGAAATGTTAGGAAGAACAAGCTTCAGAACATGGCCAAAGAGACCAAGAAACCCACAACAACCATGATAAAGGATTTCTTTTCTTCCTGAGCCTGCATAAATTACATCAGTAATTTTCATGAAGATTTGACAGAAGGAGGTGGAGAAGGACCTCTGCCACCTTGCTTTAGGGTTTTTAAGAGTCTATACTTGGAGCTGTTTCCTTTATGTTCTGGATCTCGTTAGTTGAAAAATATATCTGGGGCTTAGGTCCCTTTGGCTTCAAGGAGACCTTTGCACCCTTCCTTCTTTTTTGAAGCAACTCCAGGATGTACAAATTGTAGTATCACTTTTGGGCTGTGTTTATATCACAGATGTTCGACGGCCGAGATATGGGAAGGTTGTCTGTTGCTGATCCTTCTACCCACCCCATCCCAAAGTGTTATATTGTCACTGGGTTGGTTTTTTAAAAAATTCTACAATGCTCTCCAGACTCCGAGTCCTTTCCCCCAAAAGGTGGAGACTTTTGTCTTGAGAACTGCATTTGTACATTCATCTCCTGATGAACTGTTTATCTTTGTTTTTATGAGGGCACCTCATAGCAAGCCAGCCAGAGACAAGAATGGAGTGTTTCTCTTTTGTGTGCTTGTGTGGAAAGGGGAGCGGGGGGGGGCAAGGTGTTTATACCTCTCCACTTCGTTCTATATATCATACATGTGGGACTTAACCCTCTCCGTCTGCCTGTCTCTCCCAGCGGTATCTTCTGCAATAAATCAGCCATGTTAGTATTTCCTTGGACAAAGCTCCACTTGGCCAAGAAAAGGAACACAAAGTGGGGGGAGGAGGGGGTCACCTCCAGCGCAACACACAGAGACAGACAGAAACACATTCAGAAAGAAACATCAAGAGTCAGCAAAAAGAAGATTCATTTTTTGCTTTCTATGTGGCCGGAATCGTAATTGGCATTTTATGGGTAAGTGAAATTGCATAGATTGCAGCAGCAAATTGCTGATAATTAATGCAGCACTTGTTGTATTCTTGTTCACACACCCTATTCAAACAACAGGCACAGAAATAGGAAGACGACTTGCATTCAGCTGTACGGAATGTGACCGGCATCTTGTTAATGAGTGGTAGTTCACATAGGAAGGCAATGTGTCTTCACTTCAGCTATAAAGGGAACAGCCAGTCAGAAGGATGTCATGCTTACCCAGTTTCAACTATGCATGCATAGATTGCCACTAGGATTCATATTTGGAATATATTTCTTTCACCGTGAAGCTAGTGCCTAAGGTGGCTAGAAGCAGACTATATCACAAAAATCTGCCTTTGGGGACAGGCCTTCTCAACTCATACCTGCCACTAAAGATCGGTTGTGTGGAACATGCTGGCATGATCTCCTTCATGGTGGCCCTGTTACATATACAGGTGAATACACTCTACCTCCCTGTGCTCATTCTGTATAGAAAGAGAGCATATGAATTGTGTACAGGGAGTCTCTATTTCTTTGTCTAGGGGCTCCTATGCAAATGGCACCTTGGACACATGGAGGGAAGACTACAAGAATAAATTGAACTCAATCACCATGTTCTTTTTCTGCATGGGATGATTGCCTTCTATTGGTCAAGCATGACAGAGAGAATTAAGGCTCAAAGAATTGGGGGCAACAGTATGGAACCTTCAAACTCCCTCCAACAAAGTCCTCTGAAAATGATTAACTGATCAAGTCTCAGTTAACCAGTAATACTCAGTTAAGCGATAATACTTCACAACTCTGATGCTGGCAACAATTTCTACCTCACACCACTCTGTAGGCACCTGTTTGGGTTTTATGGATGTTCTGATCTCCTTGTATAATGGACAGGTGGCTGATTGAACAAGGCAATGCTGGATAATTAACTTAGTGTTTTAGGTACGTATCTGGATGTGCAGCCAGAGGTTGGGAATTGACTTACCCATTATTCCTCCTTTACAGGGGCTGGACTTGACGATCCATGGAGTCCCTATCAGTTTTGCAATTATAACATTATTATTAGATTATTCTCTCTGTTTCTCTCTTTTGCCTGTCCTTCTTTTTCTTAAAAAAATGCATTGGTGCCAACACGTGTTAGCAATCCCCACTCTACAGTTGTTGTTTTTTTCAGCATATCTTTATAAGATGGCTCAGTAAGATTGGAGACGAGGCCCTAAAACCTGAAAGGGTTTCAGAATTTCTACAAGAATTTGATCCAGGAATTTTAGATGCCTTTCTGTTGGTGAAACAAGAGACAAAATCTGTTCTGAGACACACACATCTTGGGTTACTGTTTTGGTAAAGAATACTGTAAACCAATAAAGTAGTCTCATGTAAATCTATAGTTTTAGAGATTATTTAAAGCTCTTCCCCTACACTTGTACTATAACAAGTTGTTGAAGAATCATGCCTTTATTTTTAAGGATTGAATTGCATTTTTCTTTCATGGCATTGAAATGGGGGAAGGGAGGGAGGTTGTAAATGTAAGTTTGAACTTCTTTTATCTATAAGCCAATTGAATTATTAGTATGCTGGATCAGACCACCTATGGATTGTACCTTTAGCTACATTAAATACAGCCATTCAGTAAGATAAACAGGTGCCAGGAATTTGTCAGGCCATGGCCTGGATATCCTCAATGTATCTTTAAATTCCAGATGAAGCAGGAAACAAGGGGGCTATGGCAGTCTTTTAAAGGAGCCCACCAAAGTTATAGCTTGCATTAAAAAAAAACACCCGCTTGATGGACTGGTTGAAGAAAGGAGAATTCCTCAGGCAGGGCTGCCCACCCCCCTTCATGGTGCTTCCTCAGGGAAGCTATTTCTGGCTCACTCAATGAACCTGCAAGTGATGTCGTTCATATGTACAGCTCATCCTAATATCCCATTTATCTGAAAACATGATGAATTCCATGATGGGAATATATCCAAAGCAGGGCCAAATCTATCATTATACAGGGAACAAATGCCGCGGGGGCAGGCGGAATGGCAGCAAGAT